AAGGAAGGAAGGAAGGAAGGAAGGAAGGAAGGAAGGAAGGAAGGAAGGAAGGAAAGAGCAAGCAAGCATTTGCTTTTTTTTTTTGCAACCATATCACACACACAAAATAAACCACTTTTTCATTCAATATATAGTTAAACTATTGAATTTGCTTCCAGTTAGCAATGATTGTCAGTTTGAGAGGCATTAAAAAGGTATTACATTTATTAAAATCAGGGTACTAAATAACTAGTAGTTAAGCTGGTTCTGTGTTACTCCAGAATCAGGAGCAACATGGCCTAAATACCAGTTGATGTAGACTAGGCTTCTTGGCCTATATGGCACTTGTGGGGTTGATTGCTCATTGTATGAACAGAATCCTGGGTCAGCTTTATCTTTGGTCTGATCCAGCACAGCTCTTCTTGTCTTCTTAGAATAAGATTCTTGGTCATACCAGAAAGTGTAGCACACACCTTTCATAATGTGGATTGTGTCATGTAGCCACTAATCCTCAGCGTGGTTTGCTTGTTTATTGGGTTAGCATGGTACATGAACATAGTTTGGGTGATTTAGAAACCATGGATTATGGCCCAGCATGTTGCATGTTCCCAGCCAATCAAAGTTTATTCTGTTACGTATGGTTTACCATTGTGTGAGTGCAGCTTTATGTATCAGAAAATACATGGAAAGCCACAACAAGGTAAAAATTCTCCCCCACAATTGCTAGCCTGTGTTTTAAAAATGTATCCTTCCCTAATATAGTTTAACAAAAGCTATTTTCCAAAACATTACATTTAGCATTGCTCACTTCAGATTACTTTTCCCCAAGGATAGTCAACTGTGTCTAAGAAATGTTTTCATGTTTGCTTTTATTATGCTTTTTCTCTTTTGTTCCTAGAGTCAGCTCATTGCCATCGATAAATTGGAAGCTGCTGTTAATCTCACCAAGGAAAATGCTGAACGGTAAAATCTTATATCCTGTCTATTACAGTGAACTCATTCTTCAAACTGGATCCTTTATTAGCCGAAACAGCATTTATGTAGGGATGAGAAGATGCTGCCAGGAGGTTTGAGTAAACTCAGGGTTTGCAGAAATAACTGGGGTTTCAGACAAACACCCCATGCTGTTGTGCTTTGTTTCTTACAGTGTGTGTGTTAATCAAGTATCCAGTAACTGTCCCTTGGTACCCTTGAGACAATCCAAAGAACAAGCACAAGTTTTGCCATTTTTATAAATTTCATTTTATTATTACAATAATTAGACATCTTTTCAAGCACTTGATACATTTGGTATTCCAGACCTGGCAGTAGTCATCTTTCTTAATGGAAGAAGTCCTTCCTTGAAAGAGTTAATCAAACTGTAATGAACATTGTGAAATCAAACATTTTGATTCCATTTAAAGTTTCAGGGGCATAAACCTACACTTAAAAAAAAGGGGGGGGGATTTTGAAGGCAAGAGGCCAGAAATTTTCTAAGTCTTTTGGAGACATTTCAAAGAAACAAGGAGAAAAATGCTAGAAAACAGGGAAAAATACATAAGGGGAAATATTGCATTTGCTGTATGTTAGCTATTTCTCAACAATCTGTTAAAATTTACTGAACTTATGGTGCTGAGCAGATGGATTGCCTTCCAAATTTCAGTCAGTATTGATGAAGAGGCTTGATTTTATAAGCACTTCAGTGACCAAGACATCTAAAATGAGCAGTCATAAAATCAGGCCATAATTATTGTCTGAGGGAGGATTATGCTAAGTTTAATTTATCAAGACTTTTAAACAAGCCTTGACTGTATAGGCCATCGTCCCCCTAAGTCATCTTGGGCAAATTAAATTACAGGTAGTCCTCACCTACCAACTGCTCAGTCAGTGACGGTTCAAAGTTACAATGGTGCTGAAAAAGAAGATTTATGACCAGTCCTTGAACTTGCAGCCATTGCAGCAGTCACATATTGCAATTCAGGTGCTTGGCAACCGGCACACATTTACAACAGTCACAGCATCCTGTAGTCACATCACCATTTGCAACCTTCACAGCCAGCTTCGGACAAGCAAAGTCAACAGGGAAGCCAGCAGGAAGTCACAAATTGTGGTCACGTGACATCACACTTAACGACCACAGCTGGAACTGACATTGTAAGTAAGTTGGGCACGGTCAAATGATGTTTCAGTTTATGACCACTTAGTGACGGAGTTGCTGGCCCCAGTTGTGGTCGGTAAATGAGGATTACCTGTACCGTTTACAGATGACACATCAGTTAATAAATAAATTAATAAGAATTTAATTTATTTAATAATTATGGCAGAATGAGGGAAATGAACAATATTCATCTGACTTATTGTAATTTCATTGGCATTACTTTTTAAAATAAGTAATTTTCTCTTAGGATCATAGAATATAAGTGTTCAAAGGGACGTTGGAGTTCTGATATCTTCCACAGTCTTCTGTTTTCCAGGCTAACTAAGCCTATTGAACACTTCCAGCCATTCTTCATACATTTGTTCTTCCAGGCTGTTTTTTATAATCCTGGAAATACTCCAGTTTGTCAATATTTTTCCTGAAATGCAGTATGCAGTATTCTAGGTGCAGTATGACCAAAACAGAATAAAGAGGAATGATAATTCCTCCCCTATACTTCTGTTAATGCATTCATACTTATTTGAAGCAATGCCACTATAATTGAAAGACTCTTTTGTAATACCAGTACCTAACTATGGGAATAACACAATTACAGGATCACACCTCTCTGTGGGAGAACATCAGTTCTGATTTACAGATACAAATAACTCTCCTGTTGTAGGCAGGCAAAATCATTTAAGACTGCAGCAGAAAGAAACGTCTATACCCAGTTTATTCATTTGTATTAATTTAGCACAGGACCATTACACTGATGATTAGAACTTGCAGTGGAACACGTATGTCTCCTATAACCTGAATTTAATCACCAGTCTCCTTAGCACAGCTCTATCTGCTCTCATTTAGTGCTCAGCTGAACTGGAGGCATGCTAAAGCAGCACAGTAGATTATATGTTTATATGCATTTTGGCTACGGCTGGGAAAATATCTTCCTGGAACCCTGATCTCAACAATACTGGGCAGGATAATCTAATAATCTGATTTGACATAAGGCAGATACCTATATTTCTTATCTTTTTTTCCCCAGCTAAAAACTTCATGAAATGTTCAAAATTGGTCTTATGTGAGCAGGAGTTGGTGGAAGAAAATATCCCCAGGGCCCTGAGGATAGAAGTGACTCTCTCATATCCGTATCCAGTGGCTCTTTTGCTGTTTTGGAATTGAAAGTGGATGAAAATAATTGAAACCCACTGACAATAATGTAGCACAAACGGATAAGGCCTCTGTACCCAATACTGCCCTACAGAGTGGTACAAACTCAGAGTAAGAATGAAGGTCTCTTGCTAGGCTGTGCTGACTTGCAAAAAGCGTGGCAAAATGGTTCTTCTCCCTTGCCATAAAAAAGCAACAGGCCAAGAAAACAGGAATAAGAACGAGCACAAACAGGGATTTTTTTCCACCTATATTTTTTGCCCCCTCCGCTGTGAACTCAGTTTTCTCAGCTATGTAAAAATGCAACATAGTTCTAATTCCAGAAGCACCTCCGTTTCAAACGGCGTCCCTTCCACCAGCCAATAACCTGAGGCCCTTTCCAGTAGAAATTGAGCTAGTGATCTTTTCCATGCTATGTATAGGCAGCGTTACTGAGCTATAGCCCCTTCTCTTGTACCATCCTTAACTCTATAACATTGGTAGTTAGGAACTAATGCACTGGCATTTGTTAAAGGGTAATGCTTTGAGGGTTAACAGATGTAAGTTCTGTAGTGTTTAGGAGTGCTTTCCTCATCTTATCTGCTCGTATCTGTAGAAGAGAGAGTATGACTTTTTCATTCATGGAAAACCTCAATTTTGAGGAAAGCTACTGCTTGCTGCTGTGATTATTATTAAAAGGGGCATTCTCATACCAGCAGAAATTATTCTTCCACTTACAGACTGAGTAACTGATCAGTAAATGAAGCGCCACACACACAGTCCTTTAATAAAAAGATGACAAATCTATTTACAGGAAGAGGTAATCAGTTTGCACTAAGTTTAATGTTTATATATTAAACGATTCAGATACTGAAAGGACTTGAAAGAATGTGCCAACCCTTGCTCTCAGTCTAGGTGCTCTTCGCCCTGAAGTGTTGACTGGAAGGGAGCATGGCAATGACATATTTCTTAAGTTGTATACTTAGCAGTTTTAGTCTCAGCATAATTAGTCTGAATTTCACTGCTGAATGAATAACGCACTATGTTTATTTTCACTGTTTTAAAGTTATTTGATATTATGTTTGTGCCCTGACTAGAAAATGTTGATTACTAAGTCATTAATAATGACAATGAGTAAAAACTGAGCTATGTGAATTGACCAGGTAGTTTTAGCAGAGGAGATGCCATGTATTTCTTACTTATGTTTCATGTCTATGGATTACTGGTGCTCACGGTAAAAACTATCTAAATTTTGGGTGTTAAAGTTGAGCAAACTGTCTCCAAAGCTGCTAACATAGCAGAATCTGATAAAGAGCTGTTGGTGAGAAATCAACAATATTCACCTTTTTAATTTCTAGCTATAACCTTGCCAGAGCTCATTTCCCTACAGCTATTTCCATGAGACTGGCATGTTAAGCCATGTTATCTTCCAATCTAAGACAATAATGGATTTGTCCTCCTAAGCTGCATGTGAAAATGTCAGTGTCTCCCTGTGGGCAAAGCAAATAAAAGTCATTCTCTGCTAACAGAATGCTGCACCTGTATGTCTCAAAGGCTTGTGGTTACAGAATAATTTTTTTATTTTGGGTCCTTTGTTCCTAACCATGATCTGCCTTAGGCTTAAGAATCTTCGATAGTCAGAACTGGGCATGGCCGTGGAATTCAACACCTCTTTCTCTTAGTTCTTGAATGCTGCCTTTGACTGTTGCTGTTGGTTGCATCTCTGTTTTTTAAATTATTAAAGAGTATGAAGTCCAGAATGGTGCACCATGGTACACCACTCAACACTTTCCTCCAACTTGACATGCAGCCATTGGGTGCATTCATTGGGCACAATTGTTCGATCATTTCTATATCCATCTAATGGTAGCACAATGCAACCCACATTTTGTTGTCTTCTTTGCTGAAAATCTGACAGGAAACTTTTTTGCTGAATGCTGATAGCGAGCTACATTATGTCTGTCACATTCCCTTATTATCTAGACTGGCCACTATCAAAAAAGAAGATCAGGTTGTTTAGGCATGATTTATTCTTAATAAACCCATGCTAGTTCTTGCTAAGCAATGCATTTTTTTTCTAAATGCTTTCAAAACAATTACATTATAATCTGTTCCAGAATTTTGCATGATATCAGCATCAATCTGTAGTTACCCAGGCTTTCTTTTTTTCATATTTCTGAAGAAAGGAACAGTATTTGCCCTACTCATAGTGTCAAAGGATTAGACACTATGGCCATTCTTCATGTTTTTTCATAGTTCAGAGAAGGGGCTTTGAGATGATATCTGCAAGTTCTTTCAAGATTCTCAGGTGTAATTTATATGGTCCTGGAGATTTCAACTCATTTGTGGTAGTCACATGCTCCTTAACTTTTTTTTTTTTTGGCTTACCTTGGGTTGCCATTCCCTCCTTTCGTCATTCATTCTGCTTATGCATATTTGAACATAATTCCCCTTTGGGGAGAAGACCAAAGCAAAGCAGGCATTGAGGAGTGCTGTCCTCTTCCCGTCACCTGTTATTTTCCAGTTGTGAGCCCACCTCTTCCTTTTTCTTCCATTTACATAGCCAAAGAAGGTCTTTTTGTTGTTTTTCATTTCCTTTGCAAGCCTAAGTTCCTTTTGCAGGATAAACTTTCTTTCTGCAGACATTAGCTACTTGCTAGTAAATGTCTTTGGTAATTTAGTAATTACATCCAAATTGAAATGCCGTAATGTGTCTGTATCTACAAAGATCAGAATTGTGCAAGCAATGGTATTCCGTGTGACACTCTATGGAAGTGAAAGTTGGACTTGTTGAAGAAGCAAGATAGGAAGAGTATTAACACTTGAACTTTGATGTTGGAGAAGACTTCTGAGAATACTGTGGACAGCCAGGAAAACAAACAAATAGATCATTGAACAAATCAATCCAGAGTTCTCAATCAAGGCCAAAATGACCAAGCTCAAATTATCCTACTTTGGACACATTGTGCAAAGACCTAGCTCTCAGGAGAAGGCTCTAATGCTGAGAAAGGTGGAAAGAAGAAGAGTATGACCAGAAACAGGGTGGATGGACTGAGTCACAGTGGCAATGAGGGCACTGTTGGAAGACCTGAAATATCAGGTTAGAAACAAATCATCATGGAGAAAATCTACCTAAGATTTTCTAAAAGTCAACACCAATTTGATGGCATATAAACAAACATCAGGCTCCAGTTTAAAGACCTTTGGATCAAGTTTGCAAGGTGCCTTCCAAACACGTTCTTCCAAGTTATCTTGAAGTGCAACCCTTCAAAAGATAGAAGACCCTCATTTTAGAAAAATGTCCCTTTATAAGAGAATTGAAACAATTCCCAATGGCACCATCTGTATACCCATCTGTTTATTTCCAATATTTTCCCCTCTTTTCCTGCACCACATTCCTCAACCAAAAAAAGTGAAGAAAACATCATCTGTGCCCCAGCTCCTTCAGTTCATTATAATCCCTTGCAGTGTTTTCAGGGTGTGTCTGGCTATGTCATATGTTCCCACATGGATTTGAAAAAAGGAATATTTGTGGGCTTAAAAAGCCTTGGGAGCATTTCTGTCACATTCTGAAGGTGTGTCCCAGAAAGGCAGCATATTTCTTTTGATAGACTTCTGATGAACAGGTTGCTGCTTCAGTCCTTCTCAGAAGGGAACTTGTGATTATGATGACCACCTATCATTGCTTCCAGTTAAGAGAACAGATAGGAATCTTCTCTTTGCAGAGCCTGTAGAGTTGTTTTCCTCAGTCTGCAGCTGCTGTTCTTTACAAACAGTAAGGCCCTGGAATTTATTTTGATGCTCCTGAATATAAGAGCTCTTCTTGTCAGGCTTGGGCCTTTGTGACATGCTCCTCTGTCTTTCTGTCCATGACCTCAGGTTGGCTTCGGACTTTTGGAAGGTTTCTTGATGCCCCTCTGCCAGTATTCCCTGTGTCCTATTCAAGAACTCACCGGCTTCATAGATAAGCTGGAAAATGGATAGTTTTGCCACCAGACCTTTTACCTTCTCTTCCAGTAGGGCAATTAACTGTACTTCTAGCATGTAAAGATCTTGCTGACTTCATGGAAGAAAACAAACATAACATGTGCCCCACAGGTCACAAAAGCAGTTCCCTCCATGTTTTTTTGAAGAAAAGTAAAACCAACAATAAAAAATGTTTCATTCGCCAAAGTGATTGCTCTCCTGTTCGCTCCCTTAGTGAGCTGAATAAGGTCACAACGGTGCTGTGAGACTGATGGAAGGATCTGAGCAAAGGCTGCACAGATTTTTCTTCAGCAATCCATATCAAACACATTCTGCAAGTCTGGCATAGCCCTGCACCAGCATCAATAGTGCCAGCCTATAGTTTACATTCATTACTGGGGCTATGTAGTGCATCAGCTTGGAAGGCAAAAAGATGGTTTGAGGCACACTGAGGTGCTCACATAACTCCTGTCTGCAACTCCATAAAGCAGATGTGTCATTTCTCAGGATTACATGGTTGCCCTTTCCAGGTGTAGGGCAATCTCAGGAAAAGATGAGTTTGGTGGTTTAGAGTTATAGAAAGTACTCTGTTTGTGTTACTGCACAGTGCAGCTATGCAAATTTACAGGCAGATGAACTGCGGAGTGCATGGTTTTGAAGTTACAGTAGAATGTTTGAATTGATTGGAGGTGATTAAATCTAATTCCCCACATGTACGTAAGCAAAACTTGTGCACAACACAAAGACACCTCTCTAGACTTCGATTTCTATTCTTTCTTAATTGCTGTCTGCTACCGTGATGCAGAAAAGAAAGAAATAAGTGTCTGATATTAACAGGACTATCAGATGTAATGCATGTAACAAAAAGCACTTGAGCAAAAGTGACTCATAGTTCAAAACAGGGATTGCAGTAATGAGTGCAACATTTGTTGCATAATAAAAGCATGTAATTGGTAGGTTGAAACAACCTCAGATTGTTGTGTTTTGATTCAGTGCTATGGAGATCAGTATGAGTTATTATGCAATCAAAATGTTACTATTAATTTACTATGATTGAGACCACTGTTAAAATTAATCATAAGATGATAAGTGAGATATGCGTGTAAATCTTTCAAATGTCTTGTGTCAAATCTTCTCTCCATAGCTTACATCTACAGGAAAGAATCCATATCTTTCACCATGATATATCTTCATGTAAGTTCCCTTCATATTTGTAATTGTCCATTGTAAATGGTATGAGGGAAGAAGAACATATTGTTGCAAGAAGGTACAAGAAAGCTGGAAACATCTTCAGTCTACTCAATCACACAGTGACTACAGATGAAGTGACCCAATCATAGCTTCTGAATCTCCAACATTTTTCATTCCCCAGAATATGCTTATAATTTGGTACATGTTTTAAATGATAACTTCTACTATAATGTCATGCTACACATTATTCTGTGTGTTGTACAGTGAAGAGAAAGGTAGAGTGTGGGAAGTTCTTTTTTATCTACAACTTTCTAAGTGTACAATGTGCTCAGAAGTTGCACTTAGTTCAGCACAGAAGCATTAGGCTAGTAAATGAGATTAACCACTGGGAATGTACCTTGTCACTGATGTATAAGTAGCTTCCTTGGGTGCAGATCCATTTCTGAACATAATCCCAAGTGTGAATTCTTACTGGTAGAAGTGTGCAGTCCTTTAGTTTCAATTCCAAAAAGCTGCTTGGGACTGCAAAGGCATGCAAATGATTGGCATTTGTCCACAACTCTTTAAAACAGCTTTAATTCAGAGATTCAGTTTAATAACAATTAGACTGAATCAAATCTTCAAACTGAATCTTTGAATCAAATAGCTAAATGGGATAGATATATTCAATTTTGTGCCTTCAAAGCAATTCCTCAGTGTAACAGACTTTTGGACACATGCACACACTTTTTATTGAGTCAACCATTCAAAATAAATCAGTGACTCAACTGTTTGAATTGGCTGTTGATTTGCACACCCCTAGCCCTTAAATTTAAACCCTTCCACAGTTTTGGAATGACATACTTGAGGAACAACTTCTTCCCCATCAACCTGCATGTGCATTTAGAAATTCTTTAAATCAGTGTTTCTCAACCTCGGCAACTTTAAGATGTCTAGACTTCAATCCCTGTCTATGAGGAGTTGCTTTTTCTGCAGTATACGGCAGTAATTGGCTGTGCCAGCTGGTCCTGGATGCCCTGTTGATGTAGGGTGGGCTACCGGAATGTCAACTCTGCTGGCATTTTAACCCCCTGATTCCCATGGAGGGTTTGCAGTCAAGGGTTTGTTGGAAGCTTTGACTGCAATGTCATTTGGCTGTTGCAATATAAAGATCAGAGTTTCTGCAGATAAAAGGCAGACCTCATGGAAAGGTTGAGTAATGTAGTTGTGGGGGGTGCAGGATACTTGTTCCAGGAAGTTATCTCTGCTACCTCCCTGCTCCAGGCGGCAACTTGGGGTGAAGCTTTGAAGGGTTGTGGAGGAGGCCTGTCTTGTTACTGGCTTCTGTGTTGTGATATTCTTGGGGGGTGGAGGGGATCCTGAATCTCTTACTCACATTTCTGGTTGTCTCTCTGGTGGGGAGGTAGGAATCAATCTTCATCTGTTTCTCTGTTTTATTTGATTTGTGGGCCCCAGTATTATTACTGGGGCTGGTCTGGGTTCTTTTCTTGCCTCTGGATGGCATTTTTGGGCCATAGGACTAAGCCAGAAAGGGTGAGATGAGAGCTTATTTCAGGAGCTGCTAGTGTGTCGCAATCTTGGCTCCTCCCCTCAACTACTTTATAGAAATCATAGAATCAGATCTGGAGAGAATGATGTAGGCCATCAAGTCCAATCCCTGCTAATTAAAGTCTAACCTCTGTTTGAATGCATCCAGTTTCACTTGAAGACCCTCCTGAGAAGGCTGTCTGGTTTAAGGAGTTGTACCAAGCTTTGATGCAGCTATGACTACTTCATAATTTCAAGGACTGAATCCAGAGGGGTGGATTATCAAATTATATGTACAGTCTATATGGAGATTCTTCCATAGATTATCATCATTATTGTTATTATTTCTAAAATTAACATACCTGCCATATATTCTCTTTTCAATCCAACCAACTACAGCAGTTCCATTATATTTTGCAATTTGCTTTTGGATAGGTGTTTCTTTTCAATATGATTTATTATATGATAGATGAAAAGAAGCCATGTCACAGTTTTTTCTTACTGGACTCTAGTTCCTGAAATAGACTCTCATCAGGATTATGCTTGGAATTGGACTGCTCAAAATGTAAAAGAACATTAAAAGCTCTTCTTTTTCATGGGCATCTGTGAAGTTTTTAAAATAAAGAAATAAATGCTTACTTGTTACTTTGAATGTATAGAGGTTAATATTGTTATATATATAATGGCCCTTATCAGTTTAGAGGCTGTTTATTTTATATTATGATATAATTGATTATAGTATGTTACTGTATTCTGCATCTCTACTTTGTTTAGTTATAAGCACATAATAAATTAAAACTACTACTATTCCTACAACTACAGTTCAGATTACTAATCCATAGAGCTGAACACATTTCCTTTACCTTTTCCCCCATCATATACGTATATTTATTAAACCACAGTGTTCTGACATTCTGATATTTAATAAACCAAAGATCCCTGGTTTGTGAAGCAGCATTAAGTCAGAGTTTTTTAGCTGAGATGCAGCTGATTTGTGTAGCACAAGCAAGGATCTTTTTCCTGAAGTTGACATGTACATGTGACTCGGAAAAGGGAGAAGTAAAGGTGGAACTCTCAGCTCCAGTGCTTGTTTCCAGCCAACCTGGAGGAAATTTCCAAATTTTAGCTGAAAATTATGCTATCAAATATGGAAAACTATGTTAAGTGAGGAGTAAACACAGATAGCATGGTCAATAATCTTTCAGCTTTGCTTTTTTTTTTTCTTTGTGGTTATTCTGCCTAAAGTTTTGATGCTTTCTTCATTGTAGGTCCTTGGGAATGCCTACTGCCCTGGGGTTTGGTAGATACTATCATCAGTAATCCACCTTACATTTTTCATGAAGATATGACTTGCTTGGCAGCAGAAATTCTCTGGTAGACCCATCTTCCTTTTATTTTTCTCTTTGTGTTTTGTTTTCCTTTGCTGCAGTTTTAAAGCCAAAGACTGTGATGTTGGAAGTCCTGATATTAATACGATCTCTTACCATTTCTTAAAGAAATAATAGCAACTGCAAACCCTCCCCAATCTGAATTCAAATATATTTTCCCTCCCTCTGACAGTATTATTTTCCATATGGGAAGAAGTATAGATTCCATACAGACATTGTAGGAGGAAAGTTGTATTAGTCTATTGTAGCCAAAAATCAGAAGGAATCTGAAGCACCTTTTCAGGCTAACCCATTTTATTCTTTTCAGGCTGAGAAAGTCCCAACAAAAGCTTATGCCTTTTAATAAAATAGGTTAATTTGAAAAGGTGCTACCAGACTCCTTCTCATTTTAGGTTCCATATAGATATTTGGATTTTTTAAACCATGGCAAAGGTTTAAATTTTTAAATGGAAAATTGCATAGAAAGGTTTTCTTTTTCTAAAAACAACAACCTTCCTTTGGTATCACAATCCTAATCCAGAGAGCTCATGTCTGCTATTAGCTGTTGAAAAATGAGGTGAGATTTCCTTTACCAGTGACCTTTGTTACATCTAAATTGGCTCTTTCCAAAATCTATTAACATGGAAACTTAGGACAGAAAAAATTGCCTTTCAGTCTTTAAGAAACTAGGAATATTTCAGTTAACTGTAACTACCATTAAGTTGAAACAAAGCGTCTAGGATTTTAGATTCATTTTGGCTAAAGGATCTGCTGTTATTGCCACTGTAAAAAGTTCATTGAAGGACTTTATGTTCTCTGAAGTATTATACAAAGAATAATAGGTTTCAGCTTCTCTCTCCTCAGTCAGTCCCCGCAGGCCTGTTCTTAACTAATGCTACACTGAGTGTACAGTACTCAGTTTGGAGAGAAGAGTGATTTGAAGATAGGTATTTAAAATAAATATTAAATTAAATGCCTATTTCTATTATGCCTAGTTTGCCCATTGGACCTTTATATGAAAGAGTGGGGATAAATTAGACACATTAGTTAAAAGCAAAAGGTGGTATCGCTGCAATTGATCTATGGACTGCTTCACTGATCTTCTGTTGACAGTGGTCTCAGTAACATAGTAAATGCTTATCATCTCTATCATTTCCAGAATGCTCCACTGGAAGCCCCTAAGTTTTCCAGTAAAAATTCAATACCAGGAATTTCCATTCTCCTTATTCCTATTGACCAAATCTAATGACATGTTAGCCTTTGCATATCTTTTGAAGTATTATATATATATTGCTGTTTCTGTAAAGCCAGGATATGATTTGGTTTTTAGACCTGTCTTTGGTTTCTAGCTTTGAGGACCTTGGTGCCCTGGATGGAGGAAATGATGGGATGAGCGTCATCAAAGAGATTCTGAACGTGGCCTCTTACATTCTCAAGGATTGTGGGTGAGTTCTGATATTGGCAGTTCTTTTGAAGTAGATTCTGTTGTAGGGGGCTAAGGAGCTGGGGATGCCTTTTCTGTCTTCTGCTTTACAGCCAAAATCATTTGACAGAAGAGATACATAAGAGTATGCATGTGAGAGAGCAACTTCTGCTTTTTCCTGCCATTTTTTTCCCAATTTCAGAGAGAGAAGAAATAGAGAAAGTGCACATAACTGGTGGAATAAATCTTATTCTTGCTAGCATACTCAAATCCCAGAATACCCAGCAAGGGGATTATGGACACCAACACGTTTACTGACATTTCATTTAGCATCTTGGGTTTTCTGCCCCACCTAAATTTTAATTTTTTCCTTAGATTGTTTGTATTTTATATATGTATATAAAAATAAAATCCCCTCTCACCCCTATGGGTGGTATGTATCTTCCTCAGTCTCAGGTCCTCTACCAGAGGCTGAGGGTTTTATGCAGTATCTTAGCTGTTCTTAGCACTGCACTCTTCTGGACAGAGAGCTCTGATGTTGTTCCTGGGATCTGTTGGAACCACC